AGATTTTAGTCATTTGAAAATTCAGTGGTGTGTGTGGGGGCACAACTACTGTCCTAAGCGTTGCCCACACTGAGATATCTTAGCGTTTGGAAGACTAGGACAGTCTGGAGATAGGTGTATTATAGCCTATCGACTTACTCGCGAATTCCCAATTCAGATCGTCTCTAATTCTGTTTTTTTGTGCCATCGTAGTTAATAGCAAACACTGTGAAGTATTTTTAAGCATGCTTGCTTTGCAGGCGAGAAGGCGACAAGGATGACGAGGGATGAAGAAGGTACTGTAGAAGACTTGGTGCTTCTGCAAGATGTTACGCACGATAATATTGTTGCAGCCTTACGTAACAGGTTTCGACTTTTAAAACTCATTTTTATCATATAATTCCAGGAGGAAGCAAATTTATTAATTTTACGTTTTTTTCTACATTTATAGTGCACCGGGAGGTTCGTGCAGTAGGTCGAGAGTTCGGCTCCATCATTAGGACAACCAGCTTCTCTACAGTTCGTTCATTCTCTTTAATAGTCTGCGGATCAAACCCGTCATCAACCTGCTTATAAGCATCTCTCGAGGGAACGAGCCAGCGAGAGCCTCATCAGCGAGTTGTTGCTGTTGACATTTTCTACTGCTCGTGCTACTTCCGGGTGTCACCTCTCAATGAAAGTAATATGACCTTTTGTCTTTTGCATTTATGCAAATGTGAAGACGAATATAAGCAACACCTATTACTGTGTGTATGTGCGTGTGTATGTTTATATATTTGCATTTAGATACGTATTTTATTTTTGTTTATAAGTATGCACTCGTGTGTGTATGTGTGTATGTTTTTGTATGTAAACATGTACGTGTTTGTGTATATTTGTGCATGTATGTACTTGTGTGTCAGTTACTTTCAAATCTGCTATTAATTCATTTGGAAGCGAAGATTTTGGGAAATTAACTCTTGGCTTGTTCTAATTTCTATTCTGGGCAAGGGCATTTCCAGATTTCTGGAAGGCAAAATTTACACATATATTGGTGAGGTGCTTGTTGCCGTGAATCCGTACCGGGATTTGCCAATTTACGGAATGGAAACTGTCCAGATGTACAAAGGGCGCGAAATTTACGAACGCTCACCACACGTTTTCGCAATTGCAGACGTAACATACCGGTCGATGAAATGGCACGAGCATGATGTCTGTATTGTCATATCCGGTAAAGTACTTCAGGAAAGCTTGTTCCCGGTATCATTAACAAAAGCAGACGAAAAAGCACTAAATGATGCCGATGTGTAAGAATGCTGCCGAAATTCCCATGAAAACACTGAGAGTTAAAAACTACCAATATTTCTGCTGGAATTTTCGGAGTTGAAAGATTCCGGGGTTTTCTTTAAACTGCTGGAGAAATAAGAAATATAAGTGAACAAAAGCAAAGTAAAGGAAACATTCATACAGAGGCAGTAGTGCAAATAAAGAAAGAAA